ACATGTCATCTACAATCCCGTTTTAAACAAAACAAAAAATAACCATTTTTAATATAGAGGACCATAGGTTATAAAAAGTAACATGGTCCATTAGCGACATAGGAGAGACCGGTGCTAGACACTGCCACATACTTTTTTAAGCTGTGTGAATTTTTGAAAATCAGTTTTCACCGTTATGGACCTTTTTATGACATTCGCCAACAGCAGGGCATAGGCGAATATATTCTTCTTATATAACTTATATATTCAACTTATAAGTTGTCAGAATGAAACCTGTCATTCAAATTTATGACAACAAAAATTATAACAAAAAGAAAACTTAAATATCCAATCATTGTATGGGTAAAAAATATATTGTAAATCATGTTGTATTTAAAATTCAAATGACAACTTGCCCCGATCTGTCAAGTATGGGAAATGATAGCCTAGCCTACCAGAGAGAAGTTGTTTTCACTTGAAAATAGGGGTGTATTTCAGGTTGATTGGGACACTTTCCAAGTCATTTCACTGACAAGAAGTGTACACTCACCCTGAATTCAGCCTATTCCTTGATTATTCAGTCAAAAATACGATTAGCATTACAGCCGCGACAACTTCCACATGTGACAATTGACTAGTCCGGTTTCCCCTAAATGTAAATAGCCAAGAAAGAGGACAGAAACTAATTTTGCACACTTTAAGATGAAATAGTTTTTGTTTAAAGATGTTGTAAAATGGATGTTTTATCAAATAATTCAATACATTGTTTAAATATATTTAAATCATTAGCCTGTAATAAAACAAAAATCGTGTTTTTCGCATTAATAAGGTCTAGCGCGCTCCTCTTTATAAATTATGTTAAAGGTTCGGTTGTTATTAAACTTACTTGTTATATTTGGGGCAAAAGCTGTGAAGAAAGTCTCAAAAAGCTTCTGACTTCAGCTGCATGTCCGTGTGGAGAGCTGAATAAAATCCGAAAGAACGCAACATGATTGGTGAGAGGAGCAAAACGATTGTGTGTGTGTGTGTGTGCGCGCGCGTGCGGAGAAAGATAGAGCAGGCGTGATGGGAGGGGTGGAGAGAGTCATAATTTATGTTTTCTGATTGAAGGACATGAAAAGCCTGCTTCTCATGCAGTCATAAAACATAGGCCTACACACTCTTAAAGTGGTTAAAACTGGTAATTTTTTTTTTATATTATTTTGATTTGAGAGAAATGTTAATTCGCCAAAAAGTAATATTTTCTTGTGTCAAACACTGCTTTCTCCACTCAATACAAATAAGTGCACGCTAGAAAACATTTTAGAAATGTCTGCTTGTCCTTTGTGTCAACAGCATTCCCCCAGTTGTATACGCACACTTCACCTCGATCTTATGTTAAAATATCTCCCTCTAGTTTCGAAAAGGTGACACTGCAGAGAGTTGTGCCATGTGATAAAATTGGGGAAAGACTGACTAGCTTTTGCAGTCCATACGCTGCTCACATGTTTATCAAGTGTTCAAATGTTTTATTTCATCCCAAAACGTCAAAATACAATTTAAGTATGTTTAACAAATAGGATAGGTTTTAAGTTATTACAGTAAACCCTGCGTCACTCATGTTCTTCAGCTGGAGAAAAACATGCACTTGTTGTCAAAGTAATTTCAAACAAAAGATGGATCGCTTTAGCCACTGAATAATTTGGTAGATAGACAGATAGCCTACATACATAGATATAAATCACAGTGAACTATTGATCGGTTTTATTTCCGAAGTAGTTTATTATTTTGAAGTTGAAGAATCACTCTAGTTGCTCTTGAATTTTTAGATTGGTCTTTGGACACGGTTGCTGTTTCACCGAGTAACAAGCATAGGCCTACATCAGACCCCAAACTTTTGAACGGTAATGTATCTAAAGTGTTTAATCTGTGTCATAAAACAGATCACCTCATTCCTTTTTTCAAGCTTCTCTCTGTCTAATCTTGATGTCTCAGCCATTTCGTAAATTTGGTCTTGTGCCTGCTGAAGTTGTAGCTGTAATTACAGAATTGTCTTGAATCAGGATTGAAATACTTATACTCACAAAAAAAAAAAAGTTTAAAGGGGTTGGTATAATGCCCTTTTCATACGATGTAAAAAATAAGTCGTTGGTGTACCCAGAGTGTGTATGTGAAGTTGCTACCCCACAGATAATTTTATATAGCATGTTAAAATTGACACTTTGAGGAGACTGGATATAATGAGAGACCACCAGATCCATGCACACTGTGAAAAAAATGACGACAGGCAAAACAAATAGCGCCGAAAGTCTTAATGATCAATTGAAGTGGCAACATAATACCTAAGATGCCACACATAACACTGACAGCGGCGTTACATTTGCCTAGTGTGGTGTTAGGGTAAATGTCTCCATAACCCACTGACATGTAATTTACGGCCCACCAGAAGGACAGGGATGCTGGTGAACATAGATTCCCGGTGACTCTCCTCTATTATGTATCCCAACGCCGAGAACAGGAAAACCCATGACCACACAGTGATAAACGCGACCGACACAATTCCGATTACGTGCGCTGCTGAAGATGACTTTGGTTTCTCCATGAGCTGCCGCAAGGACGCTTGGCACCAGCAGTGACCGTCACATCATTATCGTTCATCGCGTTCAGGATGGCCTTGACCTTCTCTGCTATTTGTGCCAGCGTAGTTTCCACCTCATTTAAATGCGTTTTACAGCATTCATCCAGATGTTCCACTTCGATTCCCCAGTAGTCAATCTCTCTCTTGAAGTAAATGGGACAGATTCCTCGCTTCATATGAATTTTTTTTCTATTCACAATTTAACACATTACACACAACACAATTACAGAAAACACCAAGAAGAATACCGCTAAGCATACCGACAAGACACATAAAAAAAAAAAAGTAAAAAAAAAAAAGGGAAAGAAGAATCTACACAGTGGGTTATCCATTATTCCATTTAAGTTGATAATTGTATAGTCTCTATATAATTTAATACTAAGGCCCATGTGGTTTGGAACTCTTGCAGTCTTGAATGCTGTTTACTTGTAATTTCTTCAATGGGCAACAAATCTATTATCTGATCCAGCCATTGACCCAGTGTGGGTCCTGACTGGGAAATCCATGCAGTAAGTATGCATTTTTTAGCAAAATAATAAAACATTGTAAACACACATTTTTTTGTAAAGGGAAACTTATTTTCAATATCATAATTCAATAAATATAACAAAGGGCATAGCTCAAAAGTACAGTTACACATAGGCCTATATCTTGAATTACTTTATGAATCTTCTCCCAAAAAGAAAAAAATAGCTTTACAACACCAAAATAAATGCATGAATGTTCCTAATTCAATTCCACATTTTCTACACATAGGAGAGTTTTTATCATTAAATGTATTAAGCTTCACTGGAGTTATATATTTATACAGACATTTATAATTAGTTTCTTTAACTTTAATGTTCACAGTCAAGGGTAAGGTCAAATTGATACACAAAGTTAACCATTCTTTTTCGCCGAACTTCCTTTTAAGCTCTAATTCCCAATTTGTTCTCAAAGAAGAAAAATAATTCTGGGAGCTTTCTAACAGAATTTTATACAAATGAGAAATCTTCCCCTTAACCGAAGTAGCAGAAATAATACATTTTTCCAACTCTGTAGGATACAATCTAAGTTGTCCCTTTTTATGTAGAGATGTAATAATGTGACGAACCTCCAGATATTTAAAAAAAATCTGATATAAAAGGAATTTGATATTCAACACAAATAGCAGTAAACGATTTAATAGACTTAGAGTCTTCATCAAACATATGCACAAAAGTTTTCAGCCCATGAAGTGACCAGTTGTTAGGTGTATTTTTGATTCTACCTCTTATTAAAGGCTTTTCAGCCAAATTTAAACCATAAAACGATTATGAAGTTTAAAAAACATTTAAAAAAATATCAGAGATATTGTTTAGGCAAAATCTATACTTTTGACTCATGTCAACTTGACATTAATGAACAATACTGAAGGCAAACTTTTCAGATAAAACTTTGATTAGCTTGTCTGAATGTGAATGTTCAAATATAATGCCATTATGATAAAACCTACTTATGTTATCTGTGAATAAAGTCTCGAAAAGTGTCAAATAACCTGTTTTTTCATGAGAGTGTGCTGCTTTTCAACAGTTCTACAGCGCTAGACGTTGCGCTCGTCTTTTGAAATCCAAGTTTCATATAAAAACATATAGGGTAAGGTGTAGAAAGATGTGGGAAGATGACCCCCTTAAGAACAATGTTCATTTACTTTAAAATGGTAACATATTTAGATAAGTTAAGCATGCACGGGATGATGATGCATCAGCCAATGTGTTATTAAAGAAATAAAAACAAAATAAAACAAACATTTGCACATAGTTGCTACACAAAATGTAAAATTATACAAATTATTTTTAATTCCACTGGAATCACAGAAAAAAATATCCATCTGAAAGGTACATTTATTCTATGACTTGTACACAGGCCTATGAATATTTACATATATGGTTGCCCTTATTTTAATTTAATTTACGCCATAATAGCAACACTATGAATTCAATCTGAATTATTTCAATTAGCATATATAGGTTTTAATGAATAGCAACGATGTCTGAGATGTTCATCTAATTTATGGAATTATTGAATAATAGCCCCATAAATTAAAACGAATAATTACATTAAAATATAATAACACGTCACTTAGCCTACATTGTGGATTATACGCATACAGCGCTTTTTCTGTATTTAATTCTGAAACATCCCCCTCTAGTGGTGAAAAGTGATATTTGCAGTGCAGTAAATTGTATCACTTGACAAAACTCTCGTTACCTTTGCAATTCAGGCAACGCACTACTTACATAGTTAGCAATTCATGTTTCAAAATAAACATCTTCAGATTCTTGTGTTGAAAATGATTTATTTCTTACTCATACCTTGGAAAATAAAATCATTAAAAAAAAAAAAGACTATTTGCATCTATATGATGGAAAATAAGCATTTCAGCACTACAATGTAAATGTTCAAGCTCAAGTTATATCACGTGGGGAACTGCCTCATTCTGGCGGTCTGGGTCTCTGTCTCAGCACTAGCCTATCAGGAGAAATCAAGTAAGTTAGATGATTTGAAGCAAACAGCCAAACTGAAACTTAACATCATGTAACACACCCAGTCACCTTGGAGGATGTATAAAGATGCAGTAGCTGTCTGAGCTCAGTATTCTGTTGTTGTACATCCTGTGTTTCCACCAGAAGCTCAGCCCTTTCAGTCAGTGCAGTACTGAGGATAAAACATCCTTATTATTACTAATACAGGTTTAAGTCAAATTCAAGGTTTTGATTTGGGCGCTATATGCTGTATTGATTGACTATGAAATGCACACTTACTGGTACTTGTCGAGACCTGTTTCTAGAGCACTCCAGAGCTTGAGTTTGGACTCTGGCATGACATTAGCTATGCTTTCCCAGTATGATTCATCCTCTGAGTCATCTCTCATTTCCAAACCCAAAACACTGCTCTTCTGCGAGGCCTGGCCATCACTGGACACAATAGCATACAGCAGATTTCAGACATGTGTGATGACAGAAACTTTCAGGTTTGAAATGTAAGTGCACTGACTATGGTCTGCAGTATTGGGCTGTAAAGTCTTTCAGAGCCACTAGTAGGTCATTAGGATGGATGAGGTCAGAGGGTTCTTCAACTGATTCTCCCTGCTCACTGGTTGTCTCCTCTTCCTAACAAAAAGACAAAAGAGAAGTGGAACACGTTTAGTTTTGTTTCCAAAGTGGCACAGTGAGAGGTTGAACTCAGGTGATGGGATCCACTTTTACCTCCATCTGTTCCCTCTGCTCACCGCCATGTTGTTTGTAATCCATAAAGAACTCAGCCATTTTATACGCATCCACCTCACTCTCAATCCCTATTGCCTGTGTGCATAAAATACAGAAGAAATCAGCTTAGACTGTTTTTTCTCTTATTGAGTGGTTCTCTACTTTTTTGACTCCAAGGCCACCATGCGAAGGCCCTCCCATCTAAGCTGATGTACCTCTGGTACTTCTGCTGCTCACAAATATAGTGTTAGTTTGATTTTGTGATTTATTTATTTTTTGCATTTTAAATAAGATTATGTTAATATAGCTAAATTAAAAATAATTTAGTACAGGTATAATTGTACTTACCGAGAAAATGGCATCTAGCTTTATAAGGGACTGTTCATTCTTCTCCAGATGAGACAACAGCTTTAGAAGTTTACTCTCTACGAGAAACCCCTGAGAGAAAAAGAGAAATGATAAGATATCGGAATATTTTATAAATAAAAACGCATACCGGTACATACAATGGTGATTTTTTAAATAGAGGATTTTGAAAAGAAAAACATGTTTGTTGTAGTTTTAAAGGATAGATTATAATCACTTTAAAGCATTTATGGTGTCTCCTTACTTATTGTTCTTAACCTAAAAGTTACATCAACAAGAATTTCTCTATTTTGGGCCTGTTCCTTACCAGAATTTTTAACTTCCCTTCTGTTATAGATTTATAGTGTTTTAATTGTTAAAATTAGGAGTTTCTACTTAGCATTTTTTTCCTTAAAGGGATATTCACCCCAAAATTAAAATTAGCCCATGATTTACTCACCCTGAAGTCATCTTAGGTGTTTATGGTTAATAAAGGCCTTCTGAAGTGAAGCGATGCGTTCTTGTAAGAAAAATATCCATATTTACAACTTTTAAAACTAAAATAACTAGCTTCCACCAGACGGCCTACTCAAGTCGACTTATGCCAAAAGGGTAACACTTGACGATGTATGGTGTAGGATGTAGGAGTAGCGCAAGCTTTGACGCCTCTCGTGGTTCAAACAAACAGGGCTGGGCAACCGCATTCATCATTACATTCTGCGTCAAGTTCGAGTGTTACTCTTTTGGCGTAAATCGATGCGTATGGCCGTCTGCCGGAAGCTAGTTATTTTAGTCGATAAAGTTTTAAATATGTATATTTTTCTTACACGAACCCATCGCTTCACTTCAGAAGGCCTTTATGAACCCCCCTGGGCCGCGTGGAGCACTTTTATCATGAATGGATGTACTTTGATGGACTTCCAAAGACATACACCCATTCACTCCCATTATAAAGCTTATAAAGGAAGAGCCAGGACATTTTTTAATATAACTCTGATTGTATTCGTCTGAAAGAAGAATGTCATATACACCTAGGATGGCTTCAGGGTGATTTTTGGGTGAACCATCCCTTTAAGAACTCAAACCTTTTGTACACATGAGTCTTAAACAACATTGGACCCGATTGACTTCACAATATGGACAAAACATAATAAATTATAATAACATTATGTTTAAACATAATATCTTCTTTTGTGTTCCATACAAGAATGAAAGTCATACAGGTTTGGAATTACATGAGGGTGACCAAATCAAAATCACCATAAAATTAAAATGTATCATTCTTATTTCGTTATGGAATATTGCAGTATTTATTATGAATGATTTATCCGTGCACAACATTATTTCTTTTTTAATTCATATGTGCATAATCTTTAATAAAAAATAACTTCCCCTACCTCTTGCAACAACATCTCTTTTCTTATCTGATAATGTGTTTACTGGTCCGAGGGTGGGACAACCTGTCACTCACGTCACATGACATCACAGCAATAGCAAACCACAAGCATTCAACGATCCAATCAATTCCCCATGGACAAAATCAAGTCCCGCCCTACATTTTTTCTTGTTTTCTTGTTTCACTCTGATATATATACAATAGGGAAGACAAGACTGTCGCAACTTGTGCTTCATGCCAACTTTGAGGCCATGATAAGATCCTGTAAAGTTTTAAATATGTATATTTTTTCCCTAATTGTATTGTAGGATATGCAATATATGTTTAAACACAGACATTTTTCAAGATTTCAAGACAGCCAAAAGTGTCTTAACTAAAGAATCAGCCACAAACATACACTCACCATTTCATCACATAGCAGCTCCAGAATTCTCTTCACTGTTCTCCTGTTAACTCCACCTCCAGTGTTCTCCAGGCCCTCAGATTCCTCCACTAAATGTCCTCTTGTTTCGTCTTGCAGGATATCTGCAGCAGTCTGTGTGGCCGTCCTTCTGGTCTGCTGTTTGATCGGGCCGGAGCGCTCCATGAAGGGGACCAGAGGAGACACCCAAGCCAGACCCAACTGCTGCTCGTGAATAATTCGGTCAGTCTCCAGTGCCCTGTGTGCCAGGGCCTTAACCTCATCTTCACATATCAACCATAACTTCTCAAAATGCTCGGCATCGAGCGCTGCAAAGTGCCTGCCCACACACACAAACACAAGGAATGACCAGGGACTGTCTGAATGTGTTTCTAGATCATGATGTGAGTAAGTTTGCTCACCTTGCTTTCTCCTGCATGTCTTTGTTCTGCTGTTTGATGCGGGCATAGTCATTGCTCACTGATTGGTTTTCTGCTTTTGACTGCTTCCCCTGAATGCCGCATTTAGACTTTAGGTTGTTAACAACATCCTGCATTCTGAAAAATTCAGATAAGTTCTAAATACAAGTCAAGAATATTACTCATCAGTATTCTTGACTCTTTTCCTGCAATGGGGTGAGATTACCAGAATCACAGTTATTATGGATCTAATTTTTCGTTCTATCAAAAAGTGTTTTGAAGTAACCTATGCTTTGGGTGGTAAGTTTTATTCAAGTCAAAAATAAAATAAAATTTGACTGAATCTACCTTACTACATTAGGAAAGTCATTTTTAAAGGGTTAGATCAGGGTTTCACTTTTTACAGTGTCGCTTTACCTTTAAGAATTTGGTAATGGTTCTTGCTGAGCTCATTTTATTGCACAAGAATGTAAGGCATTACAGTGAAACCTAAATGGGCAGATAATGGGGTTTATCTTGGGTTTTGCTGTACTAAAAAAAATATATCTGCACTTATTTGATGAAAAATACAGTGAAATAAGTAATATTTTGACATTTGATTACAATTTAAAATAACTGTTTTATACTTTAAAATGTAATGTATTCCTCAGATTGCAAAGACAAAATTTTCAGCATCATTACTCCAATCGTCAGTGTCACATGATCCTTCAGAAAACATTATATTGATTTGGAGCTCAAGAAACATTTCTTATTATTATCGATGTTGAAAACAGTTTTGCTGCTTAAACGATGATACTTTTTAGGATTCTTTGAAAAATAGAACAGCATTTATTTGGCATTCATTTTTTTTTTTTTTTTTAACAATGTAAACTAAAGGTCTTTACTGTCACTAAAGTAAAGTGACAGTGACTTTACTGTCACGGTTACTGTCACTTTTAAACAAAGTATTTCAAAAAACAAAACAAAAAATTCTTTCTGACCCCAAACTTTTGAATGGTAGTGTACTAAGATTAACCTGTAAAACTTTTAATACCTAATGATTTTCCTCTTCAATTGGGATTTTAAAATGGTGTTCTCTTCCTCTCTTTTCTCTAGCCGCTCAAATTTGTAATGAAGTGATTCTTCTTTCCGATGGTATTTGGCCTTTATCTCTTGTACCTTCGTCCTTAAATTCTGCACACACACAGATACACACAAAATCCGAGTTTTATTTGTACTTATAGCATTACTGTATCTAATATATAGTTACATCTAAGCAGTATACAGTAACACTCTTATTGTAATTAAATCCATATCAAATTCACCTGTACTTCTATATCCAATCTGATTTCGTCTATGTTGTATTCTTCAGCTGTCTTAACCCTTAGTTTCTGCAGCAAGTCCTCATACTCCTCACGGAGATTTAAACCTTTCATCTTGTTCCTCAGCTGCAGAGAAAGATGCATCTGTAGTCTAAAAGGTTTCAATCAAAGGTATTTACATTCATATTGGTTTCAATCAATAGAACTTATCCCTGATTTACTCCCTTGTGCATGTGTGTGTTACATGCTGTACCTCTTTCTCACTACGTTCCTTCATCTGATGCTCCCATTTCTTCCTGTGTTTGGTTAGCAACGTTCTCCTCTCCTCATCAAACGAGTTCTTTAATGTTCACAGAAAAGAAACGTTATATGACTGAAAATAGTATGCATTCATATTTATTCCATTATGTATGTTGTAATTGCTCGTTCATTATTAAACCAAACATATCAGAAGAAAATAATGAAGGATGGAATAAAGACTTGTATCTGCAAAAATGGCCTCCAGCCTGCAGGGGGCAGTACTACACCTCAATCAGCTGCAGGTCCTCCTGGTATGACTTTTTTAGACTTGAGACCTGTTCTTCCATCCTCTCAGTCAGCAGGTCTATGTCATTAGCCTGTCTTTTCAGGTCCTTCACATAGCGATCATCACTTGCCTTCAGCTCCTACACACACACACACACACACACACACACAAACACAAAACACTCTTAATTACTCTTGATTTTGAGTCTATATGTTTCTTGATGCATTTGTTGCACGTTGAAGTGTGTGTGTGTTCACCTGCTGTTGCTCACTGATCAGTTTGTTCTTGTCCGCTATAATCTGCTCACAGAGTTGTTGCTGGTTGTTCATAGCATCTCTTAGATCTAGCGGGGTCTGTTTCATTTTAGCATCTGTCCATTTGCGAGTGATCTCCTCAAACTTTTCCTGACTGGATTTGGCCTCGTTTTCTACATTTTCTCTCCTTCACAGAATCAAATGATTTTTATTGTGAATACAAATGTCACAGAGGTACAATTTCAAAGAATTATTGTCATATTGTTTGTTTCTCCCTGTGTAAAATCATTTTAGTGATATTGTCTATGGAGACAAAAAAGTGTTTTATTGCATGTACCTCAGTCGACATGCCTCCTCTTGTTCTTTTCTCCTGTCAGACTCTCTGGCGTCTGCAGCAACCTGAATATTGGTCACCATCTCTAGACCATCACTTTTTAATTTTGCCATGTGCTGCAAAAAGAGGAGAGGACAGTATCCTGAAAACCGGATTTAACTTACCTCTTACACTATGTGCACAATATTCAGTACTACAGTATTTCAAATCTACAATACTCTCTTGTGTGATATTTCTTAATTATCATCCCAGTTAGGCTATTGCATTTTTGTATGATAATACCAATTATCTGAAGTCTGAACAGACCATCATTAAACAGAATATTGCCATATATATATATATATATATATATATATATATATATATACATATATATTTTTATATACATATAATATTATATAAATTATTTTGTCCTTATATTAAATATATATAATGACCCTTTCCCTTTGCTCCACTTCCTTCTGACTTTTCCGTGTTTCTTCTTTAATATCCCCATTTCCCTGGGAATCTTCACCAAGCTGTTGGCTGCAAAAAATAAAATAAAATAAAAAATACGATGTGTCATTAAACCAGAATAAGTTACTTAAATGTCTAAAAAGTAGATGTTTACTGAAAAATAGTTGAGCAAATGAATAATGATGAATGTCTAACTGTTACCGTGTTTTGGCCTCATTTCGTGCGGCTATGCGGATGCGACGGGCAGTTATTCTCTCCTCTTGGTTTGTAGACTCAACAGATGGCCCAGGTTCGTCTGCCTCATCCCCTGCATAAAGTTCGGGTTGGCTCATGTTCCGCTGCTTTAATAACCACTAGTAAGGAAATTAAAACATGAAGAGAGGGCGAAAGAGAGAAGACTGCGATGAATGCGCCAGTATTGTTTACAATAGCGTTGCTATGATACAGCGGAAGTGGCTGCAACCATAGACATTAAAAGAAAGACAACACATTTACAATTGTCCGCACATGCTAAAATTAGCTGCATGTATTAAACCAGTTTTCAATGTCAATCGTTTTACTATTTACATGTTCATGCCCAAAATGCTTAATTAATATTCAAAGAAGTTGACTGTCATTCTCCTCTGCGTGCGGTTCTGATCTATATGGTTCTGATCGTAGGCACCTTGCGAGTATTCATTCATTCAACTATTTTAAAAAGACAGAAATAAAGCACCAATGCACACAAGAAATACTTTTTATTAGTCAAATTCATTAAAAAATGTGAACTCAACAGGTATAGAATATAAGTAGGCTAAGAGAAAAATGCTGACATAGGACTGCTGCAGGTTAGTGAATAAATATATATTTATTATTCAGAATGTAACAGTTGGAAAGAAAATATATTTATAGGAACATTTCAGCAGGCTCAAGATTCATTGTTTTAATCAATTGGCATCCATAAAACGTAGTGATAATCTGCATTCTCATGTAAGGACGTGCGATGAACCATAGACGAACACTCTAACCGGAAACTCCCGATATGTAATAAGTAGAACGCGGAAGTAGTTGTGCAAGTAGTGCATTGTCCGCACATGCTAAAATTAGCTGCATGTATTAAACCATTTTATTTTCTCATTGCACAGCAAAAACAAAAAAATTAAGTGCAGTTGAGTAAAAATTACCTATTCCAAAAATATGGGACAAATATATCTGGGAGAATATATATACACTCACCGGCCACTTTATTAGGTACCCCATGCTAGTAACGGGTTGGACCCCCTTTTGCCTTCAGAACTGCCTCAATTCTTCGTGGCATAGATTCAACAAGGTGCTGGAAGCATTCCTCAGGGAGTTTGGTCCATATTGACATGATGGCATCACACAGTTGCCGCAGATTTGTCGGCTGCACATCCATGATGCGAATCTCCCGTTCCACCACATCCCAAAGATGCTCTATTGGGTTGAGATCTGGTGACTGTGGAGGCCATTTTAGTACAGTGAACTCATTGTCATGTTCAAGAAACCAATTTGAAATGATTAGAGCTTTGTGACATGGTGGAAGTAGCCATCAGAGGATGGGTACATGGTGGCCATAAAGGGATGGACATGGTCAGAAACAATGCTCAGGTAGGCCGTGGCATTTAAACGATGCCCAATTGGCACTAAGGGGCCTAAAGTGTGCCAGGAAAACATCCCCCACACCATTACACCACCACCACCAGCCTGCACAGTGGTAACAAGGCATGATGGTTCCATGTTCTCATTCTGTTTACGCCAAATTCTGACTCTAACATCTGAATGTCTCAACAGAAATCGAGACTCATCAGACCAGGCAACATTTTTCCAGTCTTCAACTGTTCAATTTTGGTGAGCTCTTGCAAATTATAGCCTCTTTTTCCTATTTGTAGTGGAGATGAGTGGTACCCGGTGGAGTCTTCTGCTGTTGTAGCCCATCCGCCTCAAGGTTGTGTGTGTTGTGGCTTCACAAATGCTTTGCTGCATACCTCGGTTGTAACGAGTGGTTATTTCAGTCACTGTTGCCCTTCTATCAGCTCGAACCAGTCTGGCCATTCTCCTCTGACCTCTGGCATCAACAAGGCATTTCCGCCCACAGAACTGCCGCTCACTGGATGTTTTTTCTTTTTCGGACCATTCTCTGTAAACCCTAGAGATGGTTGTGCGTGAAAATCCAAGTAGATTAGCAGTTTCTGAAATACTCAGACCAGCCCTTCTGGCACCAACAATCATGCCACGTTCAAAGTCACTCAAATCACCTTTCTTCCCCATACTGATGCTCGGTTTGAACTGCAGGAGATTGTCTTGACCATGTCTACATGCCTAAATGCACTGAGTTGCCGCCATGTGATTGGCTGCTTAGAAATTAAGTGTTAACGAGCAGTTGGACAGGTGTACCTAATAAAGTGGCCGGTGAGTGTATAAATCTCTACACCCCTACGTCTACTCTTTGGTATTTTTTCATAATTTATGAATATTTATTTTATTATTGTGAATATTTATAATTGTATAATTTTGTTATGAATTATTTTTTATAATTTATGAAACTTAATATTGAAATGTTGTATATACAGTTCTGTATATATTTATACATGATTTGTATTTAAAATATATTCTATATTTCTAACTGATATATTTATTTTGCCATTTGTATATTATAAAAATAATTTTATATAATCAAATTTGTGAAATATGAAAGTAATACCAAACCGTTGCTTTCTGGTTATAATGGTGAGCGTATAAACGATTAAAAAAGAACGGAGGAGAGCTCAGGGTTTAAATACACAGAGGAAGCTAATTAACTAAAAACAGAACAGGTGTGTACTTTATAGGAAACCATGGAAACAAACTATGATCACACAGGCAAACAGGAATAGGGAAAACCAAACAAAGTGTACCTTTACATGACAAAAACGATGTACTAAAAACAGAGAAGTTTTATCTTTGTACAGATGACAATGTCAAAATTATCCCCATTCACACGGATCAGCGAAAACGAATCGGTTACCTAACGTAACCTCGGTTCTCTCTAGAAGAGGGAACGAGTATTGCGTAAGCTAGCTTACGCTGCGGGAAAGATTCATCTTTGCTGAGATATTGAAGCCAAAAAATTATTTCATAATTTGTATCCATTGACAACGCAGTTCCTCTGCGGCAGACCTAGAGCAGGCTAGCTAGCAGCTCATTGGTTCGCTCAGAGAGAACTGCTTAAGCCTATGGGAGAGCGGGGCTGAACCCGCTTCCAATGAGAGGCGCCCGCGCGCTCATTGCGTCATGGCCCGCCAGAATGGGTGTGGCTATGGTGTATAAAACAGTCTCTCCCAGGCTTATATGTTGATTTATTTCAGCGTGAAGCGAAACGCTAGTAGCGCAAGCACGGCCGGGAACGCAATACTCGTTCCCTCTTCTAGAGAGAACCGAGGTTACGTTAGGTAACCGATTCGTTCTCTTACGAGAGGTTCTCTCGTATTGCGTAAGCTAGCTTACGCTGCGGGAACACCTGGTCAACGCCGTGCGCGCTATGAATCCACTCATGAATCCCAGGGTGATACCGGGGATTTTTAACGTGGAGTGAATGTATTATGAGGCCGGCAGAGCGGGCACATGAAGTGTATACATAAGCATGTATGAGGCCGGCAAAGCGGGCACATGAAGTGTATAAGCATTTAAGGAGAGCACAAGGGGCGAACCGGTTGTGTGAGGGACTCCCAGTAATGCAGCTTCTTAGGGAGCTGGTCGTTAGACAGCTAGTAATTTTGCCTGCAAGGCGGGAACTTCCAAGTTGTAAAATCTGACAAAAGTGGACGGGGAGGCCCATCCCGCGGCCACACAAATGTCATGAATGGAAATTCCACAGGACCATGCCCACGATGAGGCCATGCCTCTAGTGGAGTGCGCCCTGATGCCCAGAGGGCAGGGCAGGCATTTAGATGCGTAAGCAGAGGCGATAGCGTCTACTATCCATCTAGACAGTGTCTGTTTAGAGGCGGCCAGACCTTTGGTGCGCCCCCCAAACGACACGAAAAGCTGCTCAGCGCGTCTGAACGCGGCAGCGCGCGTAGTGTACAATCTCAGAGCCCGCAACGGGCAGAGGAGATTGGCGTCGCGCTCACTATCGGATGAAGGCAGAGCCGATAGGGAAATAATCTGAGCCCTGAACGGGGTACCAATCGCCTTCGGGACATAGCCATGTCTAGGTTTGAGAATGACAACAGAATCATTCGGTCCAAACTCGAGACACGCGGCGCTGGATGAGAGCGCGTGAAGATCCCCCACGCGTTTTACTGAGGACAGAGCCGTCAGAAAAACGGTTTTGAGCGAGAGGTATTTTAGGTCCACAGACTCGAGCGGTTCGAACGGGGGTGCTTTCATAGCTTCGAGAACTATAGAAAGATCCCAGATAGGAACCGAAGGGGGGCGCGGAGGGTTCATCCTCTTAGCTCCCCTGAGGAAGCGGATGACTAACTCGTCTTTGCCCAGGGACTGAGCACGTCGGGATTCAGAGAACGCCACGACGGCTGCCACGTAAACCTTGAGAGTGGAGGGGGACCTGCCCTTGTCCAGCATCTCTTGAAGGAAAACAAGCAAAGACGGCACCTCGCATGACCGTGGGTCCAGATGTTTGTCGGTGCACCATTTTGAGAACACAGACCATTTAGACGCATAGAGCCTTCTCGTGGAAGGTGCTCTAGCCTGTATGATAGTGTTTCTTACTCCTTCTGGCAAATCGACGAATAGTCGTTGATCACCCATGCATGTAGCGCCCAGCGCCGTGGATGGGGGTGCCAGATCGTGCCGCGAGCTTGAGAGAGGAGATCTGCTCTGACTGGGATGGGCCACGGGGCTGTCTGTGACAGCTGAGTGAGCTCCGGAACCCAATTCTGACTCTCCCAACGCGGGGCTATGAGGAGCACCGAGTGGCGTGTGTCCCTGATCCTCTGAATTACCTGTGGTAGCAGAGCGATCGGAGGGAATGCATAGAGCGGGCGGCGAGGCCATTCCTGGGCTAGCGCGTCCTCGCTCCTTGAGAAAAATATTGGGCAGTGAGCGTTCTCTTCTGACGCGAAGAGGTCCACCTCTGCTCTGCCGAATAGCCGCCACAGTATTTGGACCGTTTGTGTGTTCAGGGACTATTCTCCTGAGGAGATGAGGTTCCTGGACAGTATGTCTGGACCGTCGTTCAGATGGCCCGGCACATGCGTCGCTCTGAGCGAGAGCAGGCGGCTCTGAGACCAAACTAAAATGCGGTGTGTCAGTAGGAAGAGATTCCTGGACCTGACACCGCCCTGACGGTTGAGATAGGAGACCACAGCCATGTTGTCCGAACGGATCAGGACGTGGTGTCCCCGAATGAGCGGGAGGAAGCGCGAAAGCGCGTTCTCGACCGCAAGCATTTCCAGACAGTTTATGTGTAAGGGGCTTTCCTGTGTCGACCAATGGCCGAAGGCCGGTGAGCC